GAAATAGGAGTTTTTTAAGTGGGATTTTCCAGGTCTGTTTTGGACATCACCATGAGGATGATGTGACTTGTGTTCTGTCTGTTGTGGAAGGAGCAGGAGGTGAAGAGCTTAACCCAACTTAATCACTGCAAAAATCTGCATGTGACCAGCTGAGTCCTTGCCCTGGTATGTACTGTCAGGTGCTCTTGCTTCAGCTGTGTCACCTCAGTCCCCTTACACCCAGCAGCAGGTATGGGCCTTGCTAAGCAGGATGGTACCTTGGAAGAGCAATGGCCAGTGGCCTCCTCCTGGACTCTCCACAGCTCCCAACCTGTGTCACGGGTGAGTCCCTGCAAGAGAATATCCATCTCCCAGCAAAGTCCTGGACCAACCTGCTGGGTCCATGGCTCCGCTGCTTCTTCCAAACATGCAGCTGCTATATTCCACCCTTTCTGCAGTAGCTGGCTCACACAGGCACTGGGCATCTTGACAAGGAGGAAGAAGGAAAGGACCAGCTGCCAACTCCCACTGCCAAAATCCCTAGCTGCTGGTAGCTGGGAGGATCATGAGTACTATTCCAAACATTGGAAGAGGCAACCCAAAACTCAGGTGTGCAGCACAGTCCCCTCAGTACTGTCACTTGTTCTGGTGGCATGCTGATTTACAGCCAGAAAAAGAGAAAAGGCCTTGGCCCTTTTTTTTTTTCTTTTTTTTTTTTTTTTTATGTCTGCTGAGCTGTCATGGCATCAGAGTTGCAGGAGGCGCGGCACTGGGAGCAGCTGCATCCGGTGGTCAGGCTTCGTTAAGGTGGCAGTTAACTACATCTCTGTGCTGCTACTCTTCGACACATGCACTACCTCAGTTTTGGAGTGGTGGAAGAAATAAGAAGCTGTCCTGAGTGCCCTGCTCCTGACCACCATGGCAGAGTAGTGCTGGCTGCCAAGTGATCCCCCTGGAGACAGACCTGCAAATATTTTGTATAATTTCCCTCATGGGGGAGAGAAATTGAGGCAGGAAAGAGCAATGAAATATGATGAGGCGTTGGTATAAAATGTATACTCATGTAACCCCTCAGAGAATATACCTTGTGCGTGTGTTTTTAATATATATACACACAGACATATGCTTGACGAATCTGCAACAGGGCTGAATATATATGAAGATGACACCATCAATACACTGAGAAGCAATAGAGTTACATGCAGCGAACTCTTAACACAACAAAGTCACAACTAAAGCTTGTCATTCATGGGATTGCCAGCTGGACGAAGATGTCATCCCATGTGGCGTCTTCCCAGTTATTTTCAAGTGAAGCATAGAGAGCACGCTTCACTTGGGGGGGGAAGGAATACAGAGCTCTTTTGTGTTGCGAAAGCGGATTGCTTGCCAAGGTCTAACGAACAGGGATGCAGTGTGTCCCAAGACGTGTCCAGCAAACCACGGCGCCGAACGGTCCTTACGCAAGGTGAGATGACACAAGATCCCGGGCTGGAGGCCTGGGAATCCTTCTCAGAGGTGCCAGGAGAGGAAAGCGATACCTTCTTTTCTCTGGTGGGGGGGAGAAACAGGAAAAGAAGCTTTTGGGCTGGACATTTTGCAGTGTCAGCCATCCCAAGGAGAGACCAGCTGGCTGGGACCGAACTGCTGTCGCTGCCGCCAGAGCCAAGAGGCTGAGGGAAGCTCCTACCCTCGGGTTGTCGAGCTCATCGTCCCACTGGTGACTGGTCACATCTCCCAGACAGGCTGTCCCCTTTCCTCAGCCCCATCCCGGTGCTACATGGCAGGGACCCTCCTGTTCATCTCTACCTGCTTTCTCTTCTCCCTAGAGCTGTGACCCTGCTGGGGACTCCCAGCCATGCGGATCCTGCCTCTCCTCTGTGCTCTCCTCCTCCTGATGATCCAGGCAGCAGCAGGTAAGAAATGTGGGCTGGAATGTGGGGGATTCGTGCTTTGTCAATATTCTGTAGGGAGGATTTGCCAGGCGTGATGATGAGTCGTGTGACTTCTGTTTGCTTTGGCAGCCCCCCCTGGGGTCCCTCACAGCCCATATCTTTAGCAAAAGTCTTCTGCTGCAGGTTCTGCAGCTGGGACAAGAGCTGGGACCTTGTAACAAAGCTCTTGTGCTCCAGGGATGAGGATTTGCTACCTTCTCTATACCTCCTGGCTCCCGTCTTTCTGTGTCAGCAGCGCTGGGCACAGCAGCCCTGCTGGAGAGGAGAAGGAGGGAGGAAGGCAGATCCTGCTTCCACCCTCGTAGTCTTCCCTCATGCCAGGAGGGAGCCAGAAGACCCGTTGGACAGCCTCTCCGCAGACCACTGAGGGATGGAAGTGAGCATCCCATCCAAGTGCCATAAATATCACCTTGATTTCTGCTGCAGATGCCTGCCTGGGTATTCTTGGCATGTGACAGGCAGGGGTGGGCTAATGCTGGACATGCAGGGACCAGGGGCTGTGCTCAGCGTCTCAGCAGGCCCATGCCAAAGGTCTCCTCTTTTTGTGCTCTGCAGGGCTGTCCCTCGCTCGAGGATCACCCCAGGACTGTGAGCGCCGCGGGGGTTTCTGCTCTCACCGGTCGTGCCCTCCGGGGATCGGCCGCGTTGGCATTTGCTCTGAGCAAGACTTCTGCTGTCGGAGGTAGGTTCAGGGTTGAGCTTGATGTCTGGTGGGGTTTAGAGGTGAGGCTGTTGGAGAAAGAGGGGAAAATATGCAGCCCAAGGGAATGGGGACACCCCAAGCCCTCAGTGCTGTCCTGGTTGGGACAGGCACTGCCAAACCTTTCCTCCTGCAGTCGCTGGTACCCCTGATGGGCTCCTGAGTCCCCAGCACCAATCTCCAAGCAGCCCTCTGAGACCAGCCAGTGCCCTCACAGCGTGGTCAAGGCGATGCTGCGTGGAGGCACCAAGCACTGCTGGGAGCAGCAGCAACCCCGGACAACCGGACCGCGGTCCCGCGGGCATCCCTTACCCCAGTGTCCCCAATACAAGGTGGTGGTTTGCATTCCTACTGCCAAGAGGGGTGTGTGTGTGTGTGTGTCCTCAGGGAGCGACCTGCGGGTGTGTGTCTCTTTTCTCTGTGTGCAGGGAAGGGCAGAGAAGACGGGGGGAATTCCCGATAGGCAGGGACCCACAAACACACACACGCACCCTACATCCTCATCTACCCTGTCTCCAAGTTGGCCCCAAGTCAAGCAGAGTCCCCCTCAGTGTGAACCCCAGGGACCCCAGGACCAGACTTCTCTGTCAACAAGGGTATCCCTGTACCTCACATCCAGGGTCAGGGATTGGGGGTTGCTATGAACCCCTTAACTTCCATGGGTGCCTGCTGGTTGGCCACTGGGTCCCAAGCTGCATCAGGAGTCTCCACGGGGATGTTTCACAGGACATGCTTCTCTGGCGGCCTTGGGTTCATCCCCAGGTGTGGGGCCTTGGTACGTAGCACCAGGGGATGTTTCGTCATCCAGGGGTAGCTGGGGGAGGGGTGTGCGGGAAGTCATTCTGCCCCTGAAGAAATAGGGATTGATGCCTATGCCAGGGGGCCACTCAGGAACTTCAAATTGAGTTGAGGGTCAGTGCTGGGGAAGGGGATAGGGTTCAAGACCTGGGGCTGAGCTGGGGAGGTCAGTTAGGAGCCCAGGGCCAGGCTGTGGGTCAGCATCATGGGTAAGCCTTGGGGCAGATCGACGATGCTCAGCTCAAGGAGGGTCATGGGGGTGGTCCCTGCACTGCCGTGGGGCAGCCACCATGGGGGCTGGTAGGGCAGGGGTCATCCCACTGCCCACAGCCAGGGAGCAGGGCAGGCCAGGGAGGCTGGGAGCAGTCTCAACCTGGGGCATTGGGCACCTCCATGGGGATGGGCCAAGGCCAGACCAGGACGTCAGATATGGGCCAAAGTCCAGGTCTGGATCAGCAGGGCCAAGCTTCAGCTCTGCTGGGGTTCAGCACAAGATCCCCAGCTCAAAGCAGCTCCCCTGAGCAGGGGTCGGCCCCGGCCATGGCCTCCCTGCAGTGTGGGCTGGAAGCCCTCTCCAAACCATAATCAGGAGCTCTTGGCTGTGCTGGTCCTAGACTGGTCCTGAGCCTGGTACCAAACCTCCAGGAATGAGGATGCTCACTGGACACTTACATCTGCAAAGACATCACCACAGACACCCAATCCTACTTCTGTGGATTGCTGCTGGGGGAAAATCCCCATTATATGTGTAGAAAAAGTAGCCTTATGCCTGTCTCTGACAGATGACACCAGACCTTTTGTCTCTGATGTATTCAACCTCAAGACCATTTGTTCTCTTCAGGATCCAACTCCCAGAGCGTCGGTCTCTCTGGGCAATGGACCAGCACCCTTGGTACTCTCTCCCATAACCAGTACTCTGGCTTGAAGTTTGCTAGAGGGCTGCACAACCATGCAGACACACCACAGACAGATTATTCGTAAAAAAAAAAAAATAGTTAAAGTTTACTAGAAATATAGGACAGACCATGGTGATCAGATGTAGGGTATGGTCAGAGAAGCGTATTAACCAGCAGCCTGCTTGCACGCTTTCACATCTTGCTTATCTCTGTTTCTACTGAACCACATTTGTGGTTTTGTAACAGGAATGACAGTCTTAGGAGCAGTGAATTCAGACCGAATTAGGTGAGCTGTGGCTTCACCTGATCACTTTTCCTCTGTTCACTGTCTGTTTATGTGAGTAGCCATCAGAAAGGGAGCTTGACGATTCCTGCCATATCCAAAGCAAATCACCTCAGCAGGCATGAAGCTGTTCTCATAATGTCAAAAGAGGACAAAATTAAAATATTTTGCATGATACTGCATGTCACACACTACCTGCTTACTAAGTAAATGGAAAGGAAAGGAAGAGACAAATATTTTACCCTTTTATGGCAGTGGTTGCTACTGGTGTCTACACCAAACAGTCTGCTTTGTCCATCCCAGGCAGTTGATGCCAAGCCACTGCAGCCCAGCTGCCCGCTGTGACACGGGGTGTCACAATACGTATTGCATGAGGATAACAGTGAGGATTGCAAAAACCCCCAAGAGGTACCTCAGCCTCTCCCATTGCAGCAGGGAGGGATAAGGTGCAACTGCATCACCCCACACAGATGGGTTGCTTTGTGATTAGCCAAGGGGAGCTGTGCAGCAGGAATAAAAGCATGTCCCACCCACCAGCAATGGTATAAAACCAAGGTATTTTTGGCCAAAACTGTAGTCCTTGAACTCAAGGGCATCTGGATACAAGTGATTCCTGGCACGTTTATTATTGCCTGAACACCAAGACCTCCATCAGGTAGGTAATTTCCATGTATGTTTCTGGAAAACTGCGCATTCAGCTTCTCTGTTCGAGTGGCATGACACTACACCCAACTAAATGACAGACTGCTCGGTAAAAATAGGCTCTCAGAGATGCATAGGAAAGAGAATAAGAGCCTTCCTATGAGTCTAAGAGCCCAGACCATGAGGAGGATGGCACTAAGACTTCCTGACCACAATGGGACTGGAGTGGTGCCTCGAGGCTGGAGGAGGGACACGAGATCTTCTGTTCTGGGGGAGTGGGGACTGTCCTCAGCAAAGTAAGGAGAGACTTTTCCCACAGCAGTATGGAGATTTTCCATCCTTTCAGGCTTTCAGTTAACTCCACAGGTTGATTTGTGTTTGTGTTTCTGGCCACCAAGACACTTCCCTGCCCTCTTGCTCCTCCCTGGGTCGGCGCTGCATGGGGCAGGGGCAGTAAGTGTGGGGCCGGGGAGTGTCTTTCCTGGGAAGCCCTGGAATGTTCTTGAGTTGAGGATGGGCACTCCCAAGCCGAGCTGGGAGGACTTTCCTGAGCCCAGGGAAGCAGAGGTGGTTGGGCAGGGTGTTTTGGGCAGCCAGCTCTGGAGTGTCTGAGGTGATGGAGGGCACTGGCTAACCCTTCATACAGCATGGCATCTCCGGGCACATGCACTTCCCTGAATTCTTGACCCTGGTTTGTCAATGGGCATGGCACTGAGTGTTGGCACAAGCTTCTCCTCATGTGTGGAAACCTTCTCTGCTCTGGCATTTGATTAAGAAGAGGCAGAATGGAGAGAGCAAATGCCCCAGTGGTAATCCCGGTCTACTGACTGTTCTGGGAAGGGTTCCTTGTGTCACCCCTTGATCCTGTCTCATAGTAAATTCTGCTCGGGGCACAAACACATGCCCTGCAAAAGTTCTGAGGGACTGTAACATCTAAAAGTAATTATTCCTTCCTTAGAATGTGAGTTTCAGTGGATTTTGAGTAAAACACCAACAAGTAGCGTGATTCCTCTAGTCTGTGTTTTGAGCAAAACATCAGGAAGCCCTGTGAAGTAGACAATGAAGTAAACTTCAGATTCTACAACAGGCTGGTGCTTCCCAGAATGCTCCCAGGACACCCGTGAAGTTGCAATGCTAAGAAACGTTCTTAACTCTTTTGTTGGAGACTGATCTTCTGCTGGTTGGCTCCCCATGTGTGCCCAGCCATGTCCATGTCCTTTCCTTGTTGTCGTGATGTGTCCTCTCTGCAGCCCCGGGAAGACCTGGGACAGGCGTGAGCCATGCGGATCCTGTACCTGCTCTTCCCCTTCTTCCTCCTGATGGTCCAGGGTGCTGCAGGTGAGAGGGGAAGAGGGAAGATGGGGTGAGGTGTGAGGCCCCACCAGTGGGGTCCTTCATGTCCTGGTAAGTGACCAGATGTGTCAGATATATACAACGTTTGGGAGGGAATGGCTCTGATGAACATCTGGGCAGGTGAGGAGCCAACACAGCCATTCCTGGGCCTCACACTGCTCTTCCCTCTGACATTGCCCCATGCACACAAACTGCTGCAGAAAAGTTAACCTCCTACTGGAGAGGTGAAGATGTTCACTTTGGTGCTGGGTGCAGGTGTGAGACTGAGATCCAGGGGCAGCATCAGCCTCTCTGGAACCACACACAGTTTTGGCACTTATCCCATACTTACCTTCTGTGACCTCTTTCACTGCGCAGGATCCTTCCTCGCTCCGGGAAATAAGGAAGAATGTAAACGACAGAATGGCTACTGCGGATTTCTGAAGTGCTCTTTCCCCTTTGTCATCAGTGGGAAATGTTCAAGGTTTTTCTTTTGCTGCAAAAAGTGAGTTTTGGAATGACAAATGCTACTGTTATTGAAGAAAGAGAGATGCTGTTGTGTTTAAGCATCCATGTCTACAGGGCAGAGGCCAGGGGAGGACAGGAAGGGTTCTTGCACCTGCCCTGAGTGGGGCTGAAGGAGCCCGAGGTCAGCCAGCACCTCCCCACTCTCCTTCAGCCCCGTGAGACTCATTCAGGCTTTGCCGAGGGCTCTCCCAAGCTGGCAGAGAGTGAAGCGTTCACTGTCCTTGGACAGCAGCGAGGACATGATCCGGGATTTGCTGCACCTGCATAGAACTGGTGCCAGGGCAGCCAGCACTAAGGTGACACGGGTCCAATCTGTCAGCAATAAGGACTGAACCTCACCTCCGCTGAGCCTGATTCTCTTGAGCAGAGAGCTTGTCATCGCAGGGTGGAGAGGAGAGAGTGGGAGGAAGGGAAATGTAAGTCTCCACTGGTGATGTGCTTGTCTTCTTTCTTCATACAGGATATGGCGTTGATACCATGAACACTATAAGCTAGATGTCCCCCTCGCTTCTGTCTCCTGGACCCATCTCCTGATGCCCTCTACCCTCCCGGCCTCTGCCGTCCCCAGCAGGTGTGACAGCAGGAGTGGAAGTGCTGCTGCTGCTGGGTGCCAGGTGCTCATGGGCTGGAGACATCCCGTGGTGGACCCGGTGTTGCTGAGGCAGAGGCTGCTTTTCCCGGCTTGAATAAAGACGAGCAGTTTGGCATTGCAGTGTGTGGGATGTGTGGCTGTTTCCTTGTGCTTGAGGGTGTGCTGTGTGTGCTGTCTCTGGGGGTGGGGATGGATTGGTGTCAGAAGTACCTGGGGATGCTGTGGGTCATCACTGTGTCTGTCCCCAGGGATGCTTTTTCCTGGCATCTCTGTGGGGACACCGAGCCTGGCAGTCCCCTGTGGGCCAGGGTGTTTGCTGTGGGGGTGATGGAGCTGCTCTGAGGATTGCCCCTCCTGAGGAGCGTGACCCCTGTCCTGGTCCTGTTGGTCATGAGTGTCCTTTTTCCCTGGCATCTGAGGCTTCATGGCCAAGGCTGTGCTGGTTGGTGTGTCCCTTTGGTGGGCATGGACAGGGCTGCCCACCTAACGCATACCAGAGTCCTTAAAGGTCCCACCACACAGTGGGATGAGACCTCCATCTCCATCATCTGAAGCAGGCCTGAGCTCAGCTCCCTCCCTGCTGTCAGACCCACAGCACCCACCTCTCTACCTGTCCCCCGCTGTTCCTCCCTTCCACATGTCTCCTGGAGGAGCTTGATCCCAGAGAAAGCCCCCAAGGATACCTTTCCAGACCTTGGAGAAAAATAGGTCTCCCAGGCTGGATGTCCATGTCCTCCTCAAGGTCATTCCTCCAACGGGTCACATGGACCACAACCTGGAAATGCCCAGAAATATTGCCCAGCAGGGAGAAAGGGCAGAAATCAGGGTGTCTTCTCTCTGCCTGCCTCACACAAGCTGGGATTGCAACACAGTTCTCCATCAACACCCTGTGACCTCAACCTTTCTGGAAGCGCAGACCTCTGCCCTGTATAGTTAAATACACATGTGTGTCCAGGTACATGTGACCATGTCAGCAGCTAGTGGCCGTGGCTGTTTTCTTGAATCCTTTCCATTCCAAAGGGCCAGATCACCCTCAGCACTCCATCCCTGACTTTTCCACCTTCTGCTTTCCTGCTGGGTGTGCAGCTCTTCCCAGAGCCACAGGGCTGACACCTGCATTTTCTCCCAGGGCATCTCTGTCCTGGTCCTGACGCTTAAGGTTCTTGCTGGATTCAGAGTAGCCCAGTCCTCTGTGACACAAATTCCTGTGGGAGGGCTGTAGGAGTGAGTGGGGATGTGTACCACCCTAAGCTAGGGGTCCACATCAACTAAGGTCTTTCCTCACATCCACCAATAGCTCCCACCCTGCTGCCCAGGTCCTGCACCCAGAACAGCAGGTTCTCAGTGACTTTGCAGGATTGTTTCCTTCATGTTCACTCATGTATCATTTAAATGAACGTTTAGCAGTCACCATGAACACCCTTTATCTCAGCAGCACAAAGCTGTTCCACTGTCCCATGGGCCCTTTGCCCAGAACATCTTGAATAAAACCGATGGGTTTTGTTGCGGAAAGTCATCCCATGAATTTAATATGGTAAATATAGAGCAGAAACAGCAAGAAAAAGAGAAAAAACAATCAATAGATTATATTTTCTGTTACCCATGATATGACATGACTTCCATGGAAGCAGAGAACTAGAGATGTGGATATACACTTGCATTTGAACATCAGCTCATAAATGCATGCAGGAATCAATTATTTCCAAAACATAGAATCACAGACTGGTTTGGGTTGGAAGGGACCTTAAAGATCATCCAGTTCCAACCCCCCTGCCATGGGCAGGGCCACCTTCCACTAGCCCAGGTTGCCCAAAGCCCCGTCCAACCTGGCCTTGAACCCTTCCAGGGAGGGGGCAGCCACAGCTTCTCTGGGCAGCCTGTGCCAGGGCCTCACCCCCCTCACAGGGAAGAATTTCTTCCTTATGTGATGAAGCTTCAAATAAAATACAGACTTTCTTATCATTTTGAAAGGGAAGAAGGTTTATAATACTCCCCATGTTCTTGCACACCCCATGCTAGATGATTATTTTGTCAGACTGGAGGAGAAAAGGAGGGAAACACATCAGGGCAGCAGCTCACACATCATCCACCAAGTTCCTGGAATGCGTAGAAGACTGATTCCCGAGACAAATGTTGGATGTGCCAACCAGGAATGAGGCACTGCTGGACTTGCTATTCACAAACCAAGAAAAGCTGCATTGTAATATCTCAGTCAGTGATAGTCTTGGCTGCTATCTCAGTGATCACAGTATTGTGGGGTTTGGGATCTTGGTGAGCACACTGAGGTTAGTACTAAGACCTACGTTGTATACTTTAGAAGAGCAAACTTGAGCTTGCTCAGAGGTCATTTGGAAGGTATTTGGTGGAAAGCTTCCATGGAAGATAAAGGAAGTAGTGAGTGCTAGGAATTTTTCAAGAATGCTCTCCTGGAAGCACAAAACCTGTTCATCCCCTTTAAAGGTAACAGAAGTAAGTGGAGCAAGAGACCTGCTTGGCTTAACTGTGAGCTTCTGAGTCTGCTCAAAACCAAAACCAGAAACAGAAAACCAGATGAATAACTGTTGAGAATTATAAGGTCATTGCCAGGGCGTGAAGAGATGTAGTTAGAAAAACAAAAGCTCAGCTTGAATTGGAATTAGCCGGAGATGTCAAAAACTATGAGAAAGGATTCTTCAGGTACATAAACAGTATGCAGAAACAGAAGGAAAATATTGGCCTGCTGTTAAACAGGAGAGGTGAATTAGTCACCAACAACGCTGAAAAGGCAGAGGTTTTCACCTCTGTCTTTACCAGCACTGTTGGGCCCCAGGCCTTGGGAACAAAAATCCAGGTCAATGCAAACACAGACCCATCAGCAGTGAAGGAAGAGTTGGTATGTGAACTATTACAGGAGCTCGGCCCTATGAATCGATGGCCCCTGATGTTATCCACCTGAGGGTGTTACGAGAGCTGCGTGATGTCATTGCAAGACCGCTTGCCATAATCTTTGAGAAGTCGGGGAGATTGGGGATGTCCCAGAAGACTGGAAGAAGGCTAATGTCACCCCATCTACAGGAAGGGCTTCAAGGAGGATCCAGGAAATTGTAGGCCTATCAGTTTTACCTCAGTCCCTGAGAAAGTTACAGAACACATTCTCCTGGGGCCTATCACAAGTCAAATGAAGCACAGGTTTGGGAAAAGCCAGCACGGATTCACCAAGGGCAAATTGTTCTGACAAACCTGATCGTCTTCTACGACAAAGTAACCTGCAAGTGGTGGACACTGTCTACCTGGATTTCTCCAAGGCTTTTGATACGGTTTCCCACAGCCTCCTCCTGCAAAACTGATGTGTAACAGTCTAGACAAGGGATCTGTGCGGTGGGTGGGGAATGGGCTGACAGGCCAACCCAGAGTGATGGGAAACAGCTCCTTTTCAAATTGGCAACCTGTCACAAGTGGGGTCCCCCAGGCATCAATGTTGGGCCCAACACTGTTTAACACCTTCATAAGTGATCTGGGTGATGGGACCAAGCGCGCCCTGATGAGGTTTGCTGATGATACCAAACGGAGTGGGGATGGACACTCTGGAAGGGAGAGTCACCCTGCAGGGAGACCTGGATAGGCTGGAAGCGTGGGCTGACAAGGACCTTATGAAGTTCAGCAAGGACGAGTGTCAGGTCTTGCACCGGGGAAAACATAATCCAGGGGCGCAGCACAGGCTGGGATCTACCCGGCTGGGGAGCAGCTCTGTGGAAAGGGACCTGGAGATCCTGGTGGACAAGCAGCTCAGTATGAGTGAACAGTTTGCTGCTACAGCAAAGAGAGATAACAGGGTGCTTAGTTACACCAACAAGGGCATCACCAGCAGAGATATAGAAGTCATCATCCCTCTTTACTCAGCGCTTGCCAGGCCACGCCTGGAATCCCGTGTTCAGGTTTGGTCCCTGCTGTACAAAAAAGATGTGGAGAGTCTGGAGAGGGGCCGGAGAAGGGCCACAGAGATGATCAAAGGACTGGGAAGCCTGCCATGGGAGGAAAGGCTGAGAAGTGGGTTTGTTCAGCCTTGAGAAGAGAAGGCTTAGGGGAGGCCTTATCACTGTGGTCCAGTATTTAAAGTGTGGCTACAAAGCAGATGGAGACTCCCATTCTACAAAGAGTCAAATGGAGAAGAGGAGGGGTAATGGGTACAAGTTATTCCTGGGGAGATTCTGACTGGATACAAGAAGAAAGTTTTTCACAGTGAGAACAATCAGCCACTGGAATTATTTCCCCAGGGAAGTGGTGGATTCCCCAACACTGGGCACTTTTAAGATTCAGCTGGACGGTGCTGGGCTGTCTTGTCTAGACCGTGCTTTTGCCGAGAAAGGTTGGACCAGATGATCCTTGAGGTCCTTCCCAACCTGGTATTCTGTGATTCTATGAAACCTTATCGGCTTTTTTGAGACTGGATGCTGCTGTCTGTACCAGCCAAAGTCCAGGAAGTTCCTGCCAAGCCACCGCAGCCCGTGTGGGTGCCCATTGTGCAGGGGGGTGTCACAACACGTGTTGCGTGAGGGTAACAGTGAAGATTGCAGCAGCCCCCAGGAGGCCCCTCAGCCTCTGCCACTGCGGCGGGGAGGGATGAGGTGCAACCCCACCACCCCACGCAGATGGGGCACTCTCTGATTGGCCAAGGGCAGCTGTGGCCATGGGAATGAGCATGTCCCACCCATGGGCAGTGGCATAAACCAGGGTGTTTTGGACAAAGTGGTATTCCCTGACCCCAAGGCCTTCTGGATGTAGGTGATTCCTCGCACACTTGTTGCCTCCTGAAGACCAAGACCTTCCCCCGTCAGGCAAGTACCTATGGGGTCTCTTTCAGGTTGGCCACCCAGTCAGTCTCTCTGTCGAAGTCCCATCAGAGTGGAACTGTCTAGATAACAAACTGTTGGATATATCTGTTCTCGTAGACATAATCTGAACTTTCTAGGGAAAAAAGTAAATTGAAAATATGAATTCCTTCCCGTTAGAGCCTGGAATCTGCTGAAGCTGGATCCAGGGTCTCCCCAGTGCTAGAGAGATTGGTAAGTTTCTGTGGCATTTCAAGAGAGACACCATGATCTTGTATTCTGGGGAAATGGGAACTCTATGACTTAAAGAGAAGCCACTTTACATACAGAGAATTTCCATTCTTCCAGCCTTCAGTTGACTAGTTGTGTCTTCCTGATATTTTTGGCCACTGAGACACCTCTCCCCGCTTTCTCCTAACTGGGGAGTTGCTTCACAAAGTAATCACCTGACTGTAGCTTTACTATTGCATTCAGCAATTTACTAAATGCATTCAGCATTGGCACAAGCTTCTCCAAAGGGTGCAAACCTTCTCTACTTTGGCCTTTGGTAAGGAGATGCAGAAGCAGGAGATCACGGGCACTAGGCATAACCCTTACCTGATGAGCATACTCGAAAGCGTACCTAGTCTATTGCTTTGATTCTGTCTCCCTAGAAACGTACTTAGGTCTGTTTTAGAGACAAGTGTTCCATGTGTAAGGCCCAAGGTCCTTCCAAAGTTAAGTTTTCTGAGTGAATTCTGTAAATGGCATCAGCTGCTTTTTAACTTGAAGCAGCACAAATCACCAGACATAAGATCTACAGTCTGTGCTTGGGAGAAAGCATAAGGAAGATAACTGAAAAATATGTTCTTAGGTAGTGCCTTGTCTGAAACTTCCTGAACTATTTGCAGACTATTCATGAAGTTGCATAGGTAGCCCTGTTCTTATGAACAGATGAAACGCTGGGGTTTCAACCCCAAGTTAAGGTTGACATGTGGGTGATTCCCACAGCCCTTCCCAAAGGGGGGTGAGTTTCCCTTTAGGCTCCCCCCCAGGGTGGGCGGCCTGGCAGACAGAGCCATTGGGTCAATGACCCCAGGGGTCCCGCAGTCAGTGACCCAAGGTCAGGTGTCCCACGCAGGGATAACAGCTGGGACCCCTTGCAGGAGGGGCAGTGTCTGTGTGTGAGGGGGATGCCCTGTGCAGAGTTCCCTGCTGGGGAAGGACCTCCCGCCTCCCTGGGACTGGGCTCCAGTCAGGTCTGGCTTTTGTAAACGTGGGCTGTGTAGAGATTCAGTGTGTGGCTTCCTTGGTCTGATGTGTTTGGCTTGTTGAGCTGGTTGTCTCCCGTCCCTTCTCTGGGAGACTGCATTTCACTGGTTATCCCACCCATTGTTGGCCGTGCGGTGGTGTTGTTGGGGTCAGTGGGATTGATGTCGATTATGTATAATCTGACTTGTTTGTACCCCCAGCGCTCACCCATGTCCTGATCCTTTTGTATCAAATACAGTTTGGTCATTGGTTCATCTTTATGCTGGCTGTGTCCTTTATTCTAGGCTTAATAATTGGCAGAACAACAGACTACAGACAACACCATCTTCCTTTGTTCAGGATAACGCACCTGTAGTTTTGTTTACCACTGTACCCAGGCTTCTACACCGCCTGACGTCCCCCATGTCCTTGTTGCCTTGGCATCTCCCCTCTGCTACCCTGTGAAGGCTTGGGCTGGGTGTCAGCCATGAAGATCTTGTACCTGCTCTTCCCCTTCTTCCTCCTGTTGGTCCAGGCTGCTGCAGGTGAGAGGGGAAGAGGGGAGACAAATGAGGTATGAATCCCCATCAGTGGGGCCTTCCATGTCCCGGGAAGTGACCGTATTGTTAGACATACTCAAAAGAGGGAATGGCTTTGTGGCTTTGCTCCAGTGTGAAAAAAACATGCAATGGGATATACCAAAGGATGCTCTCACAAGGACCCTTCCCCTGAGAGTAGAGGGGCTGATGTGGAGACACCCATCCAGGAATTGGCTCCTTCCGTGGGTTAGGGAGGGACTGAGCTCTGGTCTCCACCCTGGGCATTTAGCTCCTGCTCTGGGGGAGTGTCTCTGGATAAGTTCCCATTTCAATTGCTGAAGTCTCAGCCTATGCAGCCTACCCTCCTCACCCCCCAAAAATGCATGGGGAAGTCTTAGATACTTAGCATCTTTTTGAGGAACCCTAGGTATGTGTGATACTGGGATGTTAAAGCACTCTACCCCAGGCCAGATAGGTTAGTCAAGGCTTTATGGAAAGGCTGCTCCTGCAGTGACAGTGGCAGGACAGAAAATATCCTTTCGTACCACAAATAGCCAGCGATACCTGTGCCTCAGGGCTTTAGCAGATAGTTCTTCTAGGTAATAAATTTGCTACTGAAGATGCAGTTACGGTCACTTTAATACTTGGCCCATGAAGGGCGTTGAAATCCTAGTGGAGTTCCTGCCCTTACGGAATTACAGAATATTCTCCCAAATTATCTTTTCCTTACAATTGTTTCTCTGTACAGAGGCATCTCTAACTCCAGGAAATGAAGATCAGTGTAAGCAAGAAGGGGGATTCTGTAGTTTCTTGACATGCTATCACCCTCATCACATCTTTGGGAGGTGTTCAACATTTATAGTTTGCTGCAGAAGGTAAGTTCTGAAGTCAAACATTCAGAAATCGGCCTTCTGCTTTCTTGGCTGAAATTGATCTGTTGTTCTCTTTACATCGACACTGCTGGATAACACCCTCGTGCATTTGTGTGCAGAGGCGAATGCTAGGGAAGAAGGGTTAATGTACTTTGGTAAAGCTGCTTGAACCTGCCCCGTGTGGGGCTGAAGAAGCCTGAATTCAGCCAGCACCTTCCAAGTTCCCCTCAGCCCCATGAGACCAGACTGGGGGCTTTCATGAAGACTTTCTCATGTTATTGGAATGTGAAGCTTGATCTTTGTGTAGTGTGGGGCACAGGACCACCTCCATGAGGTTTCTGAACCTTGGGTTCAAGGTTGCAAGCACTAAGGAAAGGACAGCTCTAAGTCATCGCTAATGACTGGAGTTTATCTGTCCAGTAATTCCCTACAGGACCTCATAACAGAATAAATGACAGAGAGACTGGAGGAAAGCAAAGCAGGAACATAAGTAATAAATATCAGTGACCACATACTGTGCTTTATTTATGCAGGAAATAGTGATGAATCCCTGGACTTTCTGAGCAGGATGTCCTCCTCGCTTCTGGCTCCTGGAACCAGCTCCTGCTGTCCTCTTCCCTCCCTGCCTCTGCTGTCCCCAGGTGGTGGGACGGTGGGAGTGGAAGTGCTGCTCCTGCTGGGTGCTCATGGGCTGGAGAAATCCCATCATGGTCCTGGTGTCATTTGGGCAGAGACTGCTTTTCCTAGCTTCAATAAAGACATGTAGCTTGACAGGATCACAGACTGGTTGAGTCTGGAAAGGACGTCTGAAGGACATTTGGTCCGACCACCCTGCTCAAGCAGGACCACCCGGAGCTGGTTGCTGAGGACTATGTCCACATTGCTTTTAAATATCTCCAAGGGTGGAGACTCCACAATTTTCCTGGGCAACCTGTGCAAGTGCTTTGTTGTCATTACAGTAAAAAAAGTGTTTCTTGATGTTCAGAGAGACCCTACTGTGACTCGTTGTGTGCCTGTGGCCTTTGGTCCTGGCACTGGACACCACTGAAAAGAGTCTGGCTCTGCCCTCTTTGCATCCTCCCTTCAGGTTACACATTATAAGATCTCTGCAGAGCCTCCTCTTCTCCAGGCTGAGTAGCCCCAGCAATCTCAGCCTTTCATCATAGTAGAGATACTCCAGTCCCTTCATCATGTTGGGGGCCCTTTGTTGAACTCTTTCCAGTATGTCCATGTCTCTCTTGGACTGGGGAGCCCAGATTTTGACACAGTACTGCAGGTGTGGCCTCATGGTCTGTGCTGGGCAGTGTGTCCCTTGGGTGGGCACTACCCATCCTGGAGGCCCCGGGCTGCTCCTCATCTTGGTCCAGCACACTGTAGCCCTCCTTGTGCTGCTCCACGCCCCATGCTACCATGCAGCAGGGAGGGACCTATCTAATACAGCCCAGGACACCTTCAGGATAGCCACCTTTACCTCAAAGGCCCATTGCTGGCTTACATTCAGCCTGGTGTTCGCCAGGACCCCCAGGTCCACTCCTGCAAAGCTGATTTTCACCTGGGTGACCTCCAGCATGTATTGGTGTGTGAGGTTGTTCCTCCCCAGGTGCAGAATGTTGGACGTCTCCACGTAGAACTTCAAGAAGTTCTTGTCAGCCTATTTTCCCAGGCTGTCAGGGTCCCTCTGGGTGGCAACACAACCCTCTGGTATATGAGCAACTCCTCCCAGTTTGGTTTCATCTGCAAGCTTGCTGAGGGTAACCTATATCTTAAAGTTTCCCAGTTTCCAGGGAAGGAATAGGATGCTTTCTCCTTTTTTTTTCTCCCATCTGGAGACCATACAGGACCAGCCCTGCTGCTCTCTGCTATCAGGTACTGACCTCAGCCCTTCTACAAGCCAACACACAAAGCTTTGCTGCAGGTGAACATGTCTGCACAGGTCTGCATGCGACCAAAATACTTACCAGGGAGCAGCAAGGCCAGGCTGTTCCACCAGACGAGTCTGGCTTCACAGCAGTGAGGCAGCTCCAGGTTTGAACCAGGAAGGCAGGTCAGCAAGGTGGGCAGCCAGGATCAAAGCTGGAAAATATTTCAAGGACCAATGAAAGCATATTGAGCTTAAAAGCAGCTCTGAAGTGATGTTTGGGAGAGTCGTGCTTATCACAGCTCTTTCTGATGCAGCACTGTTACTCTAGGCCATGTAGCAGCTCCGTGTGCATCCTTGGCCTTGAAAACAGGCAGCTAAACCTTTGAAAGGTCTCCTGTATGTCTCCTGAGAGATGACACCTGGACTCAGGGGTCCCACAGTTTGGGGCTTTCTCTAGGAGGGATGTTCAGCTTTGTCCAGATAGGAAGCTTATCTCTGTGCTGTATTTCTTGATAACATGTATGAGTCTGCTTTTTGAGTAAGGCAGAAAATACGAATCTCTTCTGAGACTTCTTCTCCATAACTCCATCACTAGGTAGTTTTGCTGCCACGCAATCTCTCTGAAGACATTGCAAACACTTTTTTAATGCGGTGTGTTTTGGATAAATAAAGAGTCAGCATAAAGCCATCTTCATAGCAAGTGAGTGCTGAAGGAAGTTACCCAGTGAAACATGATGGAAGCAAATGCCAGCACACAGAAGCCTAGCATCACTGCCAAGTGCTGCATACCCAGCTGGAAAATTGGTGATGTCTGAGGGTGGCCGCCTCAGAAAGAGAAGTCTTCACCAAAATAACCAGAGTCACTTCTTATGAAGAGACGTGCATGGATACACACACATATTTACCCACAGGAGAATCATGGAGGTATTCTGTAGAAAGGGTGAGGTCAGCCTGTTGACAGAGAGCAGCCAGTCTAGCCTCAGGTTGTCTCCAGATGGGTGGAGAGGAGGACACCCTGCTCACTCCCTGTAGGACTACCCATCAGATCCATGAGGCCCCTTCAAGATGTCACCTTGAGGGGAAGCTGGACAGCCACCCTGGGAGATCTGCTTCCCTCTAAGGGCTACAAAGGTCTCCTTGGGAGTTGCCCATGGGATCAGCCCTGATGAGGTCAAGGGACATCCCTCCCTGCTGCATGGTAGAACGGGGCGTGGAGCCGCACAGCTCCCAGCAGACCCTCTAGCAAGGAGAGTTGCAGTGTGCTGGACCAAGACAAGGAGCAGCCCGGGGCCTCCAGGATGGGTTAGTGCCCACCCATGGGGCACACTGCCCAGCACAGACCTCCATAAGCATTTGCTGCTGCTGGAGCCTCTGGCTGCAGGGACAAGGACCAGAACGGGAGTGACGTGGCCATTCATAGCAAGCAATAGCCTATATAGTGAAGTCAGAATTTTTGTCAACATAAAGGTCAAGGCTTGAAAAGCATAAATTAAAAAATTTCAGCTTTTCAACTGTAGAGACACCTCAAGAGTTGGTGGCCAGTTACCCACTAACTCCTGCCGAGTTGAGGAATAACCATATTTCCTGTCCTTCACCTCCACGGTGTGTGCTTCATACCCAGACATAACTGGAAAAGGTTAATTGCCAAACGGTGCCACTTGAGGGATTATTAAACATTTGGACAAGTTCAGGGGGTAGGAGAGGGGCTGAGACAAGAAGAAATATTTCAGTACCAAATATTATGTGACCTGTGAAGTACATATGCCATATCTTCCACAATATAGACTGCATGCAACACGTATGGGGGGATTCAGTTCCTCTGACTTAATGGGGTGGCTGGATGTCCACCACAGTCAACAGAGTCGGGAGAAACAACAAACTGGTGAGGATGGCTTCAGTTGCTTAAACATCAGCAGTAGCGCCATTCCTAGTGTTGTGTAATATTCTGCCTGGTCTCCAGATGCTGCTGCAAAAAATTCAAGACCTCTTGCAAGCCTTGTCTACTACAGGATTGTAAAAATTAAAATCTGCAATTTCAAATGTCATAAATGAGATCTTCTAAGGATCTTCTCTGTATAGTTATTTAACACTATTGAACACTATTGAGTTCTAAGGAGCAGCAGGTTTGATTTTAATAATGTCTTTGGGCTAAAAGCGAATATAATATAATTATCCTGCTTATCTGCTGGTTAAGGCATAGTCAACAACTGTGTTCTTTGTAAAGTAATCGCTTTGTACACTTGCATTTCTCAGCGAAACTTCTGTCATGATGACAACTAAAAACACCCTGATGTTTCCTAGGCATACATTTTCACTGTTTTGTCTCTGTCCTGGTGTCTTTTTTCCCCTCTTAACACAGAGTGTTGGACTTGCATTCAACCATAAGGCTCCTACGCATTCTCTTTGCTTTTCTCTTAGCAGTGTCAGCTAGAAAACAAGACTAGAGTCTACACCAAAGAAAAAAAAAAAAAAAGATAAATAAACACTCAGAGGCATTTTTCTAAAATCTACCTTATCAGTTTTGAATGGCTTTTTGAGGGTGAAAATAATCTAGCTGCTGTAAATGCACTGAGAAGAAGGGTGAAGAGTGAGATTTTGCCTGCACGCATGGCCATGGTGCACGTTGGATGCCTCCTCTAGACACATTCCCTCTGAGGGACAGCAGTACCTTCCCAGCCCCCTTTAACCTGTGAGCAGGCTCTGCCAACTGTCTCACCGCATGACAGGGCCAGATTGTCAGCTAGCACCAGGCAGAGGGTCTACAGCTTGTCCAGGTGTGCATTCCTCCAAGCACCCGTTTTCCAAAGACTTTGATTTATGTTAACTATGGCCATGTATATGAATGAGTATATGAAATTGTGCCACAGAGGATTAGAAGTTGCATCAGACGTGCGAAGATAAGTTTCCTCCCTGCTAAGAAGTGCAAAGTATTTCTTTCTGTCACAGAACATAGAAATGCTGCAATTTTGGCAGGTAGATAAAATCCCCTCCTGAACAACATTTCAGGAATGTGAAGAACTGAGTGTGCCATAGGGTGGAGGGAGTGGGAGAGGAGCTAATGAAGAGAGACCAGTATAAGCTGTTGTTCATTTGTTATCTTTTAGGCATCCTCTCAGAGGGACAGGTGGGGGAAAAAAAGCAAAACTTACATCCATTGCTGTGAGATTACAGGACAAACAACTTCTGGAGAGAAATGAACTGACATAAATTGTTGCACTATTTAAAAAAAAAAAAAAAAAAAGGTCTACACCTTCCCCAGGATGCCCATGGGTATCATCTATAAGACAGAACATTGAGTCTAACATGCTGACATATTAATGGATGGTGGGTGTCTAGGGCTTTAGCTATTTCTATTTCTCTTTCACCAATAAAAAGTTTCTACATAACAAGATAAAAAAGATTTTGGCATCTGAACACGTTCCTGCAAACGGAAGCTGTGTTCTTCCAGCCAGCCTATCTCTTGGTACTGGAGGGTCAGGTCTTCAGTCCATGTCTGTCTAGTCCTTCATAGCTGTATGTCTCAGAAAAGCTCAAATTAAGGAGCAGTTGGCACTGTAAATTGTTGCTCTCTCGAGTACGTGTGTCAAAACCCAGGCGGGATCTTCACCCTCAGCCCATGAAAAAGATACCCCTGCTTCAGTGGCGTGAATGCTACGCAACAGGAATTTATTCATAAGGACGGAAAGCAATGCAGAATACATTTGGATTTACTTTACATCATAACATTTTGAATTAAAAATGAAAGGGGTGTGAGGCTTTATAGCAGGATCCAGTGATTTTAGCGGTAAGGGGGATTCAAAGCAAATTCGTGGATTTAGAAGAAATTTTCATCGCTCTTGAATGGACAATCCATGAAGTATTTATACATCCCAAGGCCTGCACAAAGGAAAAAAATAAATAACATTCAGGTTCTCTTTCTGTTTGTATTCCCTCCCCATTTACTCTCAATTCATGCATATTTTCCCCCTGTGTGTAAATACTTTCTAAAATATCTAATGTCATATGTAGTCATGCTGGGACAGCCTGTGCACTAATACCTGTGAGTACAAGGAGCATTTTCCTATTGCTTCAGGAAAAGCAGGGAATTAAATTGCTATTCCTTGATATTAGGGTGAACGCATTCACTCCTGAGTGAAAAGAGAAGGCTGCCTTTCATGTGGTAATTTCTATTTACGACACTGTCGCACTTTTTGCATACATCTGATGGCACTCGGAGATCTGTGTTCACCCTGCAGCATCACTGAACTCCCCTCTGTTCCCCACGCAGCACAGCAGCCCAGTTCTGCAAATACCAAACCCTGATATGTTGCTCTGGCACAGGAGCTGTAAAAGGGTCAGACAGAGCTGGGCCAGCACAAGGCTGACATCTCCAACCGTACTTCATCCTTCCTGTTGGGGCAGATCATGGTGCACATCTCAGCAACCTACTTCAACACTTGACTGTCCTCATGGCATCATAGAATTTTTTTCCTTATATCCAGTTTGAACATTCAATATAGCACCTTGGGGTTAGGGACATAAGCAAAATAGTTTTGTCCGCTCATGCTACAGATAAGCCTTGATGAATGTCAAACTCACCATTTGCAGCAGGAGCGGAACCCAAAGCAATTTCCAACTTTAATCTTACTGATGGGACAACTTCCAAAGTGACAAGTGCCTTTTCTACAGAAGAACATGTCCCGCCGGGGTGAAGACAAACCTACAACAATAACAAAACATTTCCTTCCTCTCATTCTGCAGGGCAGGGCAACACAGGTTTCACCATTTGTTGAGCTGCCTTCACCACCAACTTGCCAGGAGGACTCTTGCCCAGGTTGGCCGTGTTGAAAGGCCGTGGAAGAGGTGAGATTAGAAAACAGGCCTACACCTTGCAGAGGTGGGATGCTTAGCTCGCAGTGAACCTAAATGCATGGCCTTAAAGTCTAGGTGGAGAATGATAGAGATCTCCTGACTCATCGTCCTTTACCTTATGGGAAAGGATCATGGGTCCAGAGGCTTAAATATCAGGTCCTACCCAAAAAGAGTTGGCCAGGATTCATTTTCATCTGCATATGCACTGCTGAGTGCGCTGTTATCCAGAGATCATGGACACCACAGGTGCCATCTCCGCTGTCTTAACACCAGAACGTTCAGCACAATCTTTTTAGGAAGATACCAAAAGTGTAAAATCACATTTCTTCTAAGTCATCATTTCTCCACCTTTGAAAGAGTTTTCACAGGGAAGCGCAGGATATAAGCGATTTGATTACCTCCTGCTCTGTTTCTAGCAGTTTTAACCAGTAGTGGTTAAAATGTGCTGGGAAGTTTATTTCAGGTGCACAAAAATCCCTTTCTAGCATCTCTTTTCCATCTTACCTGGAGAAACCTGGAGTGTCAAGAAGAGGAGAGAAAAGAGCAGGTAAAGGATCTTCATGACTGTGGATTTGCTGTGTCACTGTAGGGAAAAGGACCGAGAAAGATGTATGACAGGCAGTGCCTGGGACCTACAGTCTTCTGAACCGTATAAATACTGTGTTAATCAAAATGGCATTTATATTGGCTTTTTCTTCAGTCTTTCAAAAATAACCAGTAAGACCCACATGACATCACGACTGCTGTGTGAGCATTTCTAGGAAAAGTAAACATATATGGGGCAATATGCTTTCAGGATATGTGATCATGAAGTTATGTTAATAGCTTGAATGCTCAGGTTTCTTCCACATTTTGCCAATAGTCCTTAGCCTAAATGCAATCCTGACTTTATTTTTACTTAATTTTTTTACCTAATAAACAAACAATTCGAGGTGATTCTGCAGTCAAACTTAGAAACTTCAGGGGAAAAAAAAATAATTCATTTTGCAGTGTTAAAATTTATCAAGAAATAGCAGCAAAAATCAACTTGCTCAAAATCTTCAGTCTCAGTCTACAGGCAGCAATTCTGGAATAGACACAACCAAATCAATTCTCATTTGAGAAGTGAAATTTGAAAAGCAAACATGTAACGCTGTAATTGAAAGTGTTTAGTCCTTTAATATTGTCAAAATAAGATAAGAGAGCCTAGAAGGGGGGCTTATTGATAAAGAACAGGTAGTTAATATCATATATCAGCATTAGAGAATCTTCTGATCTGTCACAGAATATGTTCTCTTAAGCAAGGAAGGGAAATGATGTGCTGAAATGTCGTATTTCTGCAGACTGAATGGTAGAGAGTGGCTCGAAAGAGCTTTGAAATTAGCATTAGAAATTTACACAGATTTCTCTATATTTGAAAATATCAGAAGAAACAAGTAGGCAAAGTTAACAATTCCTAAAATGAAACAAAGTTCTTAACATAGAGACACAAATAAAAAATTTATACTGGTTTCCATTGGAGACCGCCAATTTCCCTGGACCACAGAGCTCTCAGAAGGAACCTGACCCAGGCAGATGTTTTTCCTACGAGTTAGTAAGCAGAGTATTTTGATCAAAGTATTCTAGGTATTAGCACATATTTGAACCGCTTATTCAACCTGTGAAATTTCTGTAAAAATTAAAAAATAACCTTTCTTAGTGATCTACGAATTTAGGTTAATAATGCGAGAGGTGTTGTGGGGTTTTTTGAGGAAAAGGCAACAGCAGATATTGAAAGAAAGACCGAAAAGAACTGAGAAGTTACCAGGTATTAGATGAGCCCAGAAGCCAAACAAGACCTGCCTTTCGTCCCTTCCCTCTGGAGGGTTTTGTTTGTGGGGCTGAGACCCTCATTTATAGGGTCTCAAAGGGTGTGACAACTGCCTTCTCTTCTCAGCAAACAAACATTCAGCCAATCAAAAAATTACCTTTTTTTTTTTTTTTTTTTTTTTTTTAACCAGAATGGAGCCGCTTTTTATTTCCCAGTGAAAAAGCAGGGTTTCTCTCCAAACCTACTGAAACCTTTCTTCTGGCAAATCCCAGGTTTTTCACGCAATACCTGTTGTGACACTCCAGTTTGTGTAAGATACGTTAAGCCACCGTGGTGTGTGTCAAACATCTTGGGACACGCACTGAACTGTTCCTGCTTAGGAGCGACTTAACCCGTTGCAATACTGAGCATCTGTGCACCTCTCTGCACTCACAGTTAGTTTATTTTCTGTTCTCTGAATATAGAATATGAGAACACAGAATGGACATGTGAAACTAAAAGAAATGTCCATTGGTTTAGTGGCCAGTGGCCACTACAGATGCCTAAGGAAGGAACATAAACCGTACAGAAACAGGGTGAGTGCACTGTGGTTATGTCTCTGTACGTCCTTCCAGCTGATGGAAAATACATCAGGTTAGGGAAATCCAATGCCAGAAGCTGTCTCTGGACCCTCAGTCTCAGAGCTCCAGACTGAGCATTTGTCCATGACTCCAGCTTCTACGTCTGACCTCCACAGGACCTTCAGCTGGTAGTTCCACAAACACATTCTGCCTTGGGTGAGCATTCTTTTGTTGCTTATCTGCTCTCAGTCTGCCAGCTGACCATCTGCTTTTTCCCTCATGGGAAGTAGCAAATACAAATTCCATTTTCACCTCTCCACGTTATTACTGATGCTGTGGTCATCTACACTCTCCCTTCCCTGTCTATCTTCCCACAGTGAAAAGAGGGTTTCTGTCAACCACATCTGCCAGATAAGTCTTCAAATGGATCTGGCTACTTCAGTGGATCATTCCTGCTGTACATTTATCTTATTGTTTTAGTTCTAGTACACTCTTTTGGGAATGGGCTGGCTAGAATTGCATGCAATGCCCAAAAAGCATTTGGATTTCTATAGTGCCTAATCATGTTTATTCATTTGTTTTCAGCTCCTTTCCCCCTCAGTTCCTAACATTTGACTTGCCTTTCTGTCCACAGGTGAACACTAACGTTTCTATCCACAGTGAAGTCTACAACAGCATCACTACAGTTCTGAAGTGACCTCCTGATTGTCCCCTGTGACTTCATCTTAGTTCAGGTTGAAGAGGACTTTTCATGTGTGCAAACTAGACTCCTTAGGAGGAAAGTGAACAAGATGTTTTGCTTTGAAAATGTCTGGTTTCAAAGGTACTCTGGTACCTTTGATCACATCTGGTATCCAAACGTACTCTGAAGGTACTCAAATGCCTAGTGGGGCATGAACCAATGTGTGGACTACGCCACCTCAAGGTCCTGTAGAGTGTACATAGCATTTCTATTTTTTTTGAAACCTGATGAATTTAGACTGGAGGATCAGCCATTTAAGGAAAAGCTGAAGGATCCATCTTTGTTCAGCTTGGAGAAAACATGGCTAAGGGTCATCTAAATGCTGTTCACAACTACCTAATGGTAGCTCTAGTGAAGATGGAGCCACACTCTTCTCAGAAGTGCACGGTGGAAGGATGAGAGGTAGCAGACGCAGATTACAATGAGAGAAATTCCAGGTAGCTATAAGGAAAAAAAACCCTCTCACAATGAGGGTCTTCAAACACTGGAATGGGGGCCCAGAGAGTTGATAGAATGTCTGTCCCCATAAAGATATTCAACTCAACTGGAAAAAGCTCTAAGCAACCTGGTCAATCTTTGAAACTCTCTGTCTGGAGGGCTGAATGGACCAGGTGGTCTCTAAACACTCCATTCCAACTTGCATTGTCTTATGATTTATTCAACAACAAAATCCAGGCCAAACTGAATTAATAAATCAATATCATGAAGATTTGAGGAGCCTCAGCACAACCTATAAGCTCTAGTGATCTTTTCCTATCTATTGATCTTCCATTAGACCAAATCACTTGCTGACATACCCAATAACTATCCAAAGACATCAATATTAAACACTTTTTCAGTTCATATTTTACCCTAGTCCTCACTTCAGTCAACAAAAATTGTTTGTACGATATTTTAATGACACCTGAAGCACATCATAATAGTTATATATATTATATATATATTTTTATATATATTTATATTTATATTTATATTTATATTTATATTTATATTTATATTTATATTTATATTTATATTTATATTTATATTTATATTTATTTTTATATTTATATTTATATTTATTTTATATTTATATTTATATATATATTTATATTTATATTTAATAATTATGATACATTTGTTATTTTGGATGACTAGAGTTTCTAATTGACCAAGATCTCTGCAAATGACACCGTGTCTTACACATCATTTCATGTCAAAACTAACCTGAAATACTTTAATTGCTTATTGGTTCCTCAGTGTAGTTTCTAATGATGTGATTTTTTTCAATGCTTTGATATTAATTTCTTAAGTATACAGAAGTGTACACATGTGCATACATGCACAGACATATAGATATATATATGTCACCTAGATATATATGCATGTGAAAATATGCCAAATTATTTCTCTCAAATGCATACACTGATAGCTGAGACAGCTTTTTATTTTCTACATATTTTTATAAGTGGGCTGGTTTTGAAGTAGGAAAAAAAAAAAAGATAATTGAATTTCTGCTGTGTCTATGAACTTCTGGCCATAAAACAGAAAATGCAGGGAATAAAATTGCAAAAGTTGCAGTTGCTTCACAACTTGCCAAGAGTTTGTGGTTAACTTACCTACCAACCGTTACTGTTACTCAACCTGATTCCTCAAGGAAACAAAGAGCATCGTTAATTTTTACCGTGTCTAAGGTCCTATGTGCAAGTAATGTCAACGACTTGGCTTTAGTGCTGAGCATTCTCAACTCTGTTAATTACAAATTCTACATGGTCACTCCCATCGTTGCCATCAAAATACCTCTGCCTGGACACGGGGAAGGGAGAAGCAGAGGAGGGATGGAGCACCTTTGGTTGTCCAAAGCTCACAGCGGTGAGGCAGCCTTATCAAGATTTTGGTTTGTGGCTCTTAGGGTGGATAACCTTTCCATCCCCACCCACAGCTCCTGCTTTTCTGAGCAGGAGACTGTCAGCCAGTTTCATACATCATGAAGGACGTATCCATGTTTTGCCCTTCACAATCTCAGCATTTTTCTCCAATGCCTTTTGCCGGTAGACCCGACTTACACCAGGATCACAGTAGCACCAACTACACACTCCTTCACCTAGGGTACCTGGGTCGGAAAGTGCATGGAATGTGGCCCAGCTAAGCTGGGCAGCACCTCACAATCATTTGCCTCTTGACTTTAGTTAATTAATCCTTTCTACCCAAAACACCATCTACTTCCTCACTATTTTCAACTGTAACTGTGACAGACTACACCGTGACTGGCAGGCATGCAGTGTGTATTCAAACCCCCTTGGCACGGGCCATGTAGCCTAAAGTTTCTAAAACCCAATGAATCTCTGTAAGCTGATTGGTATTTCCTGGAGGCAAAGGGTAGGAGTGACTTCCCCAAACTTTAGTCGTCCTAAAGGTAAAAATCAAAGTCCAAGCTATTTTCACTGCTCTTCCTTTATAGTTAATGGAGAGAAATTTTTCTAAATATTTTTGACTGAAGTACAAACATATACAATAAGGCTGTTAGAATAAATGCAAAATAACAATAAGGATGCAAGAAACCCATAAAGGTTGCATTAGGAGATGCTGTAGAACAACATAAGTTGTTGATGACAGTAAGAGTCATAAGTATTCATTCTGCAGAACAGTATCGATGAGACCTGTGTCTCTAACAAAGCCAGCATTACCCCTTCTGAGAGCTTTTTACATATGTGGGCACCTCTGCCCCACCCAGCAAGCCATTTTGAGTCAAAACCATCTCAGTTTGGTAATGTATTTGGCTGGGCACTGTTCTGTGCACATTCAGCAACGGCTTCTGAGAAGATAATGGCCAAATCACTGTGTTGCACACCCATAACTTTTGGAAATGTGTTTGCTAGTCTCTTTCTCTTTCCTACTTTGTATCTTTTTTTCCTGGTTTGTGTCACTGTCAAGGGTCTGATGTTATCCAAAATGTTCCTGGTTTTCCCTCGCATGAGGTCCTCTCAGAAACGAAATTTCTCTGGGGCACTCTGAAGGGAGGATCTGAAGATGACTTGGCATTTTCTACACTGCTAGACCATGATGACAGGGAAAAAGAGACAGAAAGCACAGTTTCCATCTCTGACATCTTAGTCAAAAATACCATAATATCATCAAAAATCAGCCTGGAAACAACTAGAATGTGTACCTGCTGGACAGAGTCACCCTTGAAATCATCACATAGAGAAGGTAGGGTTCATCCCTGGCAAAGATACCATGGTCACTGGAGGAGTGTTCCAGGAATACGGCCATTGGGAAGTGGGGGATGAAATTACCTCCCTTTTCCCTGGGGGTGCAGTGGGGTGCAAGTGGAGTAATGTTTAGCTGTAAAAGCCACCAGCCCACCTGTGTGTTACTGCCCCTAGTGTGAGCAGTCCTACGAAATATCCCCCCCTTCCCTACAAAAATACCCAAGGTTCAGACATATGAATGCCATCATAACTGATTTTATTAAAGCAGGGGGGGGAAAGAATTAATTTCTATGGTGTTGCCAGGTTCATATTTATCTTTTTGCAGACACTGATGCTTGCTTCACGGCAAAGGAAGAGTTTGAGCGCTTTTTGTTCCAGCAAGAACCAGTGCCATCAGGAGAAATGGTATCAGGGTGATTCAGAGGCAGTTCAGTAGAAGCAGAAAGGATTTCCAAGGAGAATCCAGTGAGCCTTCATCTATACCACCCTCTGCAAGATGAAGAAGAGAGAGTTTCAGGTTACCCACCAGTAGGTTTTCTGCAGTGACATCCGCTTTACTTCATGGC